TGAGGACCTATCGCTCTATTGGAGAGAGTCGATAAGTTAATTGTCAGAGGTGTGATATTAACGTGACCGGAATTTGTTACGATCAGAACAACTTTGAGGACCTATCGCTCTATTAGAGAGAGTTGATAAGTTGATTGCCAGAGGTATGATATTAACGTGATCGGAATTTGTTACGACCGGAATAACTTTGAGGACCTATCGCTCTATTGGAGAGAGTTGATAAGTTTATTGTCATAGGTCTGATATTAATGTGATCAAAATTTATTACGATCCGAGCAACTTTGAGCACCTATCATCCTATTAATGAGGATTGATAAGTAGATTGTCAGAGCTGTGATATTAATGTGATAGAAATTTGTTACGATCGGTAGACTCTGCTGAGGATGTATAGAGGTTTTAGCAGCTCTCTGGTAACAGGTTTCATGATACGTGACCATAGAGAATAAATGTCATGTTGGAAAACGCAAGGGTTAACCCTACGTTTAGGAGGATTAGAATGCAAAGGTAGTCTCTGCTTTTGGGGTTTGAAACGCAAGGCTAAGCCCTGTGTTGAAACATGGCAACGCAGGTCTGGGCCCAGCATTCAGAATTTGAACGCAACTTTAAAATCATTGCGTTTAGTCTCTTTTTTTCATTTTTTAAACGCATGGTCTAATCCTGCATCTTATCAGCAGTCTAAACAACTTATCTAATAATGCGGAGACCACGTTTAGGCGGGAGTTTCAAAACTCCATGCCATCTACAGCATGGTGACTTGTTATAAATAGACCTCTATCAATCATATCAAGGGTCATTAACCACCCATACCTCCGCCTTAACTCTTTGAATGAGTTCTTCTCGTTAGAATCTCTAGATTTTCGTCTGTCCTCAACCGCCAGCGGCCATGGTTTCGATGAGAAGGAGTTCTCGCATGCCAGGGGTCGTGGAAGAGGCTCCTATCTTGCTGTCAACCAAAGACACGAGGGGTGTTTCTAATTCCATATCAGCACCGCTGTGGATGCCCTCATCATGAGCATCTGGTCATCGGGGTACGTACACATCATTGTTTACTTATTTTTGATGAGCTTGTTCAAAACCCTAAATGGGTTATTGGTTGACGATGATGAGGAAGACTTGTTTTCTTCTGATTGAAATGCAGAGTTGGGACTCTGTGTTAATTATGAAATGCAATGTTGATTCTTGCGTTTTGAAATCTGAACACGGGTCTTAATCCTTTGCGTTTGAGATTGAAAACACATGTCTTGATCTCTACGTTTGAGATAAAAAACACGGGTGTTTTGACCTCTGCGTTTGAGATTAGTCTTTTAGACTTTTTGGAAGTTTGTTAACTTCCACCTTTTTTTTGTTTTGCAGCTCGAGATGATGTTCCCACTGCTGAATCCCGCACTTCGCGATCCTTGAGAAATAAGCCCCTTACTGCAGAGGAGGAGGCTCGTTATAAACGAGATGCCTAAAAGAGGCAACCAACTAAACCTATCGTTGTATCTGATGATGAAAAGGAAGAGTCGCTGAGAGATGACAACCCAGAGGATGCTCCCCTAATTCAACCCATCTCGATGATCTTCCCTGGCAAAGATCGAGAAAAGGTAACCCTTGACTCTCTCAACCTTAATCCTAAATGTATGTTGTTCCTCGTCAGACACTTAGAGAATATGATGAAACAAGCCATGTATGTTGTTCCTCGTCAGGCGCTTAGAGAATGTGATGAAACAAGCCATCTCTGTCGTTGAACATGGTTGGGGTACTTTCTCTGGATTTCATGCCCATATTGAGAGTAGCTTAAACGCTCTGTCGAGTAGATTATCGACGGGCTATGATTTGTGTGGAAAAATTGTCACTACATAAATGCTATTCGCTATCTGGAACAGTTGCTACACATTAATCTGGGACCCAAGATTGAACAAGCCGTAGGTGTCGCCCAAATCAAGAAGATGATTGAAGATGAAGTTCGACGACAAAATATATTCGAAAAGAAGGCCTACATTTGGAGCTTATAGAAGCAACGCCGTTTTACCAGGGCCAGGTTTGTTGGAGTGAAAATGACTCAGGAGGCGTTCGATCTTGGGGATGCCAACCTTTACGCCGCCGTTCAAGCAAAGAAAGAGGCTCTTCAAGTGTTACAACGAGGGGCGACCGCTTCTGCTACTGTTACCGAGGATCAACTTCGGAAGGGTGCTGAACAAGAAGTTCAGGAGACACATGTCAGGCTTATATCTCAAGTTCGGGAGACCCATTTCGCTTCAGATTCAACGTCATGGCGCAGTTAGCTAACATCCCTGCAAGGATCACCCTGTACGAGCTCTTGCGACTATCCAAGACCATGAGGGAAGCTCTAATTGAAGCTTTGACGAACACAGAAAGCTTTATTACTCAAGTTACTCCAGTTCCAGAAGCTTCCAAAGCACAATCTTGTGTACAGTGTCTACAAGCCACAAAAAGTCTGTCATGCATAACATTCACTAGGGAAGATATACAGATCAAACACAAGCATGATAGACCTCTGTACTATAGGGTATATCGGCTCTTCTGAGATCAGTCGAGTACAAGTTGATCCGGGCTCGATACCCAGCATCATGCCATATCAAGTCATGCAAGTCCTAGGGATTCCCCTACACCGGCTAAGTTCTACCCAGACAACCACATTCGACTTTAACGCCAACAGCACACGACCCTTGGATAAAATCAAACTCAGGTGCCAAATCAGAGATCTCAAGTTTGAAGTGACTTGTTATATCATAGATGCAGACACGTCTTACAATTTTTTGCTAGGACGACATTGGATTCATGCGAATCGCATTGTCCCATCTACTCTTCACCAGGTCATAAAATATGCTGATGAGCAGGGAGAAGTCAGAACTTTGATTGCTTAGAAGCAATCCTTTAGAGGGGTGAAGAACTTTCACACTGATTCGGTCTTCTACCAGGACTCCTAAGAGCCAAAGCAGTCAAATGAGGCCGCCGACAGTGGAAATGAAGCTGACATCACGCCCGATCCTAAGGAAGATTGCCCATGGGAGTTGAATTTTGATGTAATGGGTCAGAGTGAGGATAATAACAGGTACCGAGTGAGGGTGAGTGGTACATTATGAACATTTTAATTCGGCATACTTGTCAGATGTGTCATCTGAATATGAACAAATAAAGATTGATATAGATACATGTATTGATTCATGACGCACATTGTACGCCAAGATTTTACTTACTTTGCCTCTAAAATCATCCTTCATCGCATTCGAAGAGATGGAAGATGTACAAAAGGCTTTCTTCATGGCCCTGTCTAGAAGGAAAGGGCAAAAGCCGATCTATTTTGGTAGGGTCAAACCTGAATTACTCAAGCAAGAGAGTTCAGAGGAGGACCGGAGAGCCCCCTAATTCCATTATTATGAACCTAACACCATAAAATTGATGAAAAGGATGGGTTATGACTTTGATAAATAAGAAGGTTTAAATTTTAGGAAAGGAAGACGAATGCCGATTCGGCTTTCTACCACAGAAGGAAAACATCTTCATTATTACCATAAAACTAAAAGAGGGTTAGGTTACGTCTCAACTCCTCCTCTTTCAGAAGATGAGATCGGCAACTGCCTGTGTCAAGATTGTTCATTTGGAACATCCTCAAATGAATCCGATGCAAGTGTCAGAGAAATATTTAAAAGCATGTCTATGAACATGGCTTCAGTCAGTCATTCAGTCAAAAATGGAGAGGATGACCAAGAATTGGTCGAATCAAATAACGATCCTTAGATCAAACGCATTACCATCTTATGGGATATGTGTTTCGAACAGCGTGAACCGCCCACTGAAGATAAGATAATCCAGGTCAACATGGGGGATGAATCCGATCCTAAGCCAATCTTCATAAGCGAGAACTTATCACCACCCGAGAAAGAAGATATCATATCTCTTATCAGAGAATATATAGATGTCTTCGCTTGGAATTATGAAGACATGCCTAGTCTTGATCCCAAAGTAGTCATGCTTCATCTTAACATTGATCCGGATGTGAAACCCGTCAAATAACAACAACGCCGGTTCCGTCCAGAGACCATAGAAGCAATTGAGTCAGATGTCAAAAATCTTATTGACTCAAGCTTTATCAGAGAGGAACAACACCAAGACTGGGTTGCTAACATTGTTCCCGTGCCCAAGAAAAATGGCAAGGTCTGAATCTGCATTGACTTTCGTGACCTTAATGGTGCATGTCCGAAAGACGAGTTTCCACTCCCCATCACAGATGTCATGATTAACAATACTTGTGGGTATGAGAGGATGTCTTTTATAGACAAATTTTTAGGATATAACCAGATTAAAATGCACCCTGAAGACGAAAGGCATACTACATTCAGAACACCCATGGGGTGTACTGTTATACAGTAATGCCATTCGGATTAAAGAATGCCGGTGCAACCTATCAACATGCTATGAATACAATTTTCCACGAACATCTGCGCAAAAAGATAGAGTGTTATGTGGACGAATTTGAAGTGAAAAGTCAAAACAGAGGTGATCATCTTACAGATCTGAAGACGATGTTCGACATCATGCGAGCACATCAACTAAAGATGAATCCAACCAAATCGTTCCTGGGGGTCTCTAGCGGTAAATTCCTAGGATTCATAGTCACATCCAAGGGAATTTCTCTCAATCCAGAAAAGGTTCGTGCTATCCAAGAAATGCCACCTCCAAGAAATATCAAAGAGCTCAGAGGCTTGTAAGGCAGATTAGCATACATCCAGAGGTTCATATGAAATCTCTCAAGACACTGCCAGCCCTTCACCAAGTTGATGAAGAAAGGAGTTTCATTTGTTTGGGATGGGGATTGCCAAAAGACATTTAAGGAGATTAAAAGATACCTCACTGAATCACCTGTTCTTGTGGCCTCGATATCAGGGAAACCTTTCTTATTATACGTGAGGGCCATGGATCATTCTCTTAGAGCTTTATTAGCTCATAACAATAACTAAGGACATGAGCAAGCAATATACTACCTTAGAAAAACTATGATTAGAGCCGAACACCAGTATAATCCGGTGGAAAAGGAGTGCCTTGCTTTGGTGTTTGCTGTCCAGAAGATGCGATACTACTTAGTAGGCCAAACAATCCACGTCATCTCTAAGGTAAATCCTTTGAAAATACTCATGACAAAGTCGTCTTCTCTGAATTGTTGTCTAGCGTAATAGGCAATTCTCCTGTCGTAATATGACATGCAATTTATGTCCCAGAAGGCTGTCAAAGGCCAAGCTTTGGCAGATTTTTTACCCAACCATTTGGTATCTGAATCATCCAAATTATATGAAGATTTACAAGATGAAGTCACCGAAGCTTGTGTAACTCAAGAAATTATACTAGTTTGGAGGTTGTTCTTTGACGGTGCGTCTAGGGCAAACCCTAATAGAGGAATCACTGCTAGTGTAGGGGTAGTACTTGTATCCCCAGGAGGCCATGTAATCCCAAGAGGATTCTCTCTAATCGAGCCATGTACTAACAATGTAGCGGAGTACAATACTTTACTACTAAGGATGCAGTTGGCCGAAGAGCTCAACATTCGACACCTCGAGGCCTACGGTGACTCTCAACTTATCGTGAATCAAGTTCGAGGAGAATATGAAGTGCGTAATAAGGATTTATTCTCATACCACTTCGCTGTGTTAGAACTAGCTCAGAAGTTTAAGGGCTTCTTCATTGAATACATCCCACGAGCCCAGAATACATATGCGGATGCTTTAGCCTCATTGGCAACTTCTCTAGCATTGCCACCAAAAGAAGGGACGACGATATTCGTTATGGATCATGATTTGTATCACCCAAAGTTTCTCTTAGAACACTGCTCAAATGAGACTACAACAGAGATTGCCTGTGCAACTTCAATTGAGCTGGAACTAAGGGATTGGCGATTCTCATATATTGATTACGTCTTGTACGAGATACTACCTGATGATGCTAAAAAAGCGACCGCCATCAAACGGAAGGCTCTTTGATTCTATTACGACGCGATCTCTTAAACCTTATACCGTAAATCACATGATGGTGTCTTACTTCGTTGCCTCTCTAGAAGAGAAGCACATGAGGCTCTCAAGGAAGATCATGATGGGATGTGTGGAGCTCATCAACCTGGAGCTATGTTTGGAAACCATCTCCGACGAATTGACTATTATTAGCAAAAGATGTTTTCAGATGCCGTCAACTACGCTAAACGTTGTCATGCATGCTAAATCCATGGTGATTTCATTCATTACGCACCAGGGAACTTGCACCCAACGTCGACATCTTGGCCATTTGAGATGTGAGGAATGAATATTGTTGGACCCATTACTCCGCCAATGGCCAAAGGATATCGGTTCATCCTGACAGTGACCGATTACTTCTCTAAGTGGGCGGAGGTAATTCCGCTGAAAGAAGTCAAAGCTTCAAACGTGATCAAGTTCATCAAACATCACGTAATTTACCGCTTCGGTGTGCCAAGACGAATATCCCATGACAATGGAACTCAGTTCGTCAGTCATGGTTTCCAGGGGTTCTGTGATAAGTTCAGGATTTAAAGTGTCGCATCAACGACATACTATCTGCTAGCCAATGGCCTTGTAGAAGCGTTCAACAAAACCATCATGAAGCTCCTCAAGAAGTTCGTCTCCAAGAGCAAACGTGATTGGGATTAAAACTTGGCAAATATTTGTGGGCCTACCACACAACAGTGAAGACCCCTACAAAGCCACCCCATTCTCTTTGGTATATAGCTGCGAAGCCGTATTACCATTGGAAATTCAGATCCCATCTCTGAGAGTTGCCCTTGCGATCGAAATGATGGATGAAGAACAGCATTGGTTGCGTCTTCAAGAACTTGAAGTATTGGATGATAGGCGACTTCATGCTCAGCAACAGATCGAGTTGTATCAAGCTTGAATCTCCAAGGCCTACAACAAGAAGGTCAAAGAGCGAATCTTCAAGAAAGGCGATTTGGTCCTAGCCGTCAGATGACCCATGGTGATGACACACAAGACTAAGGGGAAGTTCAATCCCAAATGGGAAGGACCATTCGTAATAGAATCAATTTATTCGAATGGTGCATACCGTCTCATCAACCAGAAAGACAACAGACTCATGATGCCTATTAACGGGAAATTTTTTAAGAAATATTACCTATAAGGCATGAGATAATGAATCAACTTTCCCTAGACTGGGGGTTGGTTTTTCATGTTTCATTTGAAGGGAGAGTAATAAATTATGTTTATTTTTCCCAAACAAGTCTGAGATAATGAATCAACCGGGGGTTCATTACTCGGAATTCAATTGAATAAGAGAGTAATGAACCGTGTTAAACCTTCCCCAGCTTGTATGTAGTTAAGTTAACATTATACATCTGACAATTATAATTATCTGGAAATATTCTAGCAATAATAAAGAGAATTTCCAAATTCTGCTAGATTATCATATTAAACAGTGCAGTCAAATACGTTGATAGGTGGAAGTTTGCCAAGAATTCTATGTGTTAGCCAACAAAAAGGAAAAATGCGCGAGTTATTGAGGAATGACAACGGAATAATAAAAGAGTAATTTTGTTCAAAAGAGAAGTTCTGACTGTACAAAAGCATAATGATGCGTTACAGAAGTCAATAAAAAAAAGGTGGTCCCATCGAGCTCATTCAGGCAGGCTAAGAAGCAAGTTCAAGCCTTGACAGCAACTAACTCTTTCGTCCAGGCCGTCCGAACCTGTTCTTCCATTTCCTTTAGGATTTCAACTTCAGAAAATGCATCACCGGCTACCGCTTCTTGGCACATCACTTGTGGGGTTTTCCTTTCCCTCTCAACGGCGTCACGAACGTTTGCAATCTCAAGCCGCAGACCCTCTAGGGTTGACTCTTCCTCGGAAAGTTAAGCTTTTAGTTGAGTGAAGAAAGAAGCATAAGCATCAATCTCAGCCAGCGCTAGGCGTTGATGATTGAGCAAGTACTCGATAATAGAAGTAGAAGAATCGATCACAGTCTGTAATAGACGTCGCCGAGTAAGCAAATGTTCGAGGTTAGACTTTTGCTCTGATATACTCCTCTCACGCTCTTCGCTCTCGCGCATCTTCTTAGTCAGGACTTGGGACATGAGGTACTCCACCTCTTTAGTCCCGTCAGAAGACTAGCGCCTCCAGGCGATGTACGGATTCCTCCAAACAAATAAGTTTATGTTCGCAACGCCTGGCTAATTGATCACCGCCTGTACGCTGAATTGCTTTTAGACTATCTCCTATATAGGCGTCAAACGCCATGAAGGTCCCCCATCCAGCGCTAACGATGGAGATTGCTTGTTTCATAGCATTCTCCAACCGTTGGATGAGACCTTGCACAGAGCTGGAGTCCAGAGAAATAAATTCCTAACCCGGGACGACCATAGCAATAGGCTGGATCCGGGGGACTGATCCTTCATCACTAACAGACGACCTCCATCCACCCCCTACACCTGTTGAGTCCAAGAAACCATGTTTTGGATAAATATGCGAAGAGATTTGCGAAGCAAACGTCGGAAGAGGTCTTTTCCTTTTCCTTACCTTCAGAAATGTTGGCAAGTCTCCTCATGTGAGCGTTCGCTTCATAGTGATTCGCTTCTTTGACAGTGAAAGGCATCTTTCCAGATGATTGCTCTAGAATTGTTAAAGAAAATAAAAGCAGGAATTAGTGGTTAAATCAAGTTACTAATACAAGTCCAATGGACTGATCTAAAACGCATGGTTCAAGAACTGCGTTATCAATCTGAAGCACAGAAGGTAAGACCCGCGTTACCAATCTTAAACGCAAAAGTTGAAACCTGCGTTTTTATTCTAAAATACAGAGACCAACTCTGCGTTTCACAAACAACATAGAGTTCTATTCCTGTGTTTCATTCAAAAGAAGACGAACCATCTTCATCATCATCCTTGATGGAGAACCCATCCAGGGTTAAAGAAATTTGTCGAGGCAAGTTATGTGAGTCATTGCTTACCATAGTAAGCGGATCCATATGCCGATGACACAACTATAGTGTCAGGAGCACTGCCCGCTCTTGTTATTGACAAAGTTGAAGAGGTCAATTCAGCCGGTTCAGACGAGAGCTTGTTCCTCTTGAAGCCATTACGAAAATCTAATAGAGAAGAAGAAGAGTTAAGTAACTCTTAAAAGGTGACCCTAAGGGGTCTATTTATAACAGTAATCAAGCTGTTAAAGAGGCGCGGGATTCTAGGATAGAGTCCCAACGACTTGGAACGATTTTAAAAATAAAATTAATTACACCTTGCTCAAATACATGCCAAACATGGAATAGAACTGATTAGTATACTGAAAATCTTAGCCATGATATCTAGGTATGTCACTAAAGTCTTCATCACAGGCAATATCTTACATTATGCGCTAACGACTCAGATACACAAGCTTTGATAGGGAGTTGAATAAATTTCATGTACTAGATTCTGGATTTACTTACTAGAATAAATTCTCACCAATCGCAGAAAAGAGAAATAAAAGGAACCCATCAACTAAATGCACTCAGTGGGACATATTGTTAAAGCAAAAAGAAGCCATTACATTACTTGTTGGGGTTAATTGCAGATAGACCACCTGCACTGTGTCCAATTGAAGATAGGCGCCCTGTAGTATTTGGTGCAGTGCATTTAGAGCCCATGAGTGAATTTCTTTTTTACTCTTTTTGAGAGTCAGATAAGCTTACTCAGATAGCCTATACGCACAAGTAGAACTTTAGGAAGGCTATATGCAACTGGACAAAACCACAGTGGGTCTACGCAATTAACTTTTAATTGTGTATTGCTTTTACAAGAAGTTTCAACTACAAGTCTACAAGGATCAGGAATTGAGACATTTGCATTATTTCATTCTAAATTTTATTTTTCTTTTACTCTTTTGGTGGGCTAAAATTCAGCGGCCTGTTTGTCACAGCGCCGCAGATGCAACATCTTCATCGATGTCATCCGAGGGACCGTTAGCTTCTTGAATCTGCACAAAGTCATGTCCATACTTTATTTAATTATTGTTTTTTTGAGCAGATAAAGGATCTTTGCATGATATGAAAAGATTTTTTATATTAATAAATGAGTGGCTAGGAAGTTTGGTAGACATCAACTTAAGTTAATAGAAGTCTTACTATATATATATATATGAGAAAAATAGATATGCTTAGTAGTGAGGTGACATATTCCCATCCACTCATTGAAATTGGGGCCTACATTCATATGGGTTTGGGAGTGATTGGAAATTAAAATGAGTGGATGAGAATATGATACCTATGAGAAAAATGAGTATGCTTGGTAGCAAGCACAATGTGCTTGGTAGTGAGCTGACATATTCCCCTCCACTCATTAAAATCGGGGCCTACATTCATATGGGTTAGGGAGTGGTTGGAAATTAAAATGAGTGGATGAGAATATGATACCTCACTACCAAGTACAAAATTTGTGCTTGGCACCAAGCATACCCATTTCTCTCTCTCTCTCCCAAGTGATTTAACAAAAGAAGTAAATATTTCTAAATTGCAGAGATAAAGAACTTTCTCCTTATCAGTATCTATTAGGATGAAGAGAGGACATTGTCGTCATTCACCACAAACATAGATGAAAATAGGGACCAAAGCCAGCCCTTCACATGCAAAATAGAAATAAAAAGTTCTACTATCAATCACCAAAAAAAACAGCAAAAAGAAAAGAGGTCCAGTATTTAAACAGTACTTCAAAATTGGACAAAACAAATCTTTCCTTGTTGTGTTAAATTGAAATGATAGCCCCTGTCATATCTTCATCATCCTATCACCGCTCTTCTATCTTCGAAGCATTGGAAGATGAAGTTCAGCTAAGGCCATCTTCACTTCCTTTTATGCTTTGAAAATCCAACACATGACCATTCATTTGTAGAATTGGAGTGAAGGGGACGACGAAGCTCAGAAAAATTCAAGCAGAAAACGTTTTGGATGCTGCACGCGTCAACGCGAGTAGAGCTGTGTCGACCGCCGG